GAAGTCTGAGCTAATGGGCCAATCAGTTTATCATTAATATAGACTCTCTGTGTGATTTTCTTTGGGACTTGCCCATTCTGGGAACTGGGCAGGACAGAAACAAAAGAGGCCCCTCATGTTACAGAGAGCATGTCACCTTACAAAACAGAAGCAAAAGCAAGAGTGGACGCTCCACAGAGCAGAGTGGCTCAGAAACAGCTTACAGAAGACACAGAACCAGGCAAGCTCAGGCATTGTCACAAGGCCACCAGCTCACCATCTATTTATCCTCACACGGGAAGACTGAGAAGAGGAGGTGGGGTGGACCAGAGTGGATGCTTGTATGAGAGAGACGCAAGTGGTGGGCTGAGTGGGAGTGAGGTGGAGGGATTGGTTTTCCTGCATCCACAAGCCAACGAGCTTTACCAGCTGTCTAGTTAAAATCCTCACTGTCTCAGTTAAGGTTTCTATTGCTGGGAAGAGACACCATAACCAGAGTAACTTTTATAAAGGAAATGAGTTCATTGAGGTGGCGGCTTACAGTTTCAGAAGCTCAGTCCATTATCATCATGACGGGGAGCATGGAGGAGTAGCTAATAGTGTTAACTCTTGCAGGCAACAGGAAGTCTAGCGAGATACTGAGTGGTACCCTGAGCATAGGAAACCCCAAAACCTGCCCCCACAGTGACACACTTCCTCTAACAAGGCCATACCCACTCCAACAAAGCCACACCTCCTAATAGTGCCTCTCCCTATGAGATTCTGGGGGCCAGTTACGTTCAAGCCACCACACCCTCCCACCCTCCTTCCATGAAAGGAAAATTCATAGGTCATAGACCAGCCTGTCACTAGTGTACCTGGGGTTGTCCTATTCATGCTTTTGTCCTTTGTGGGCCCTGCCCCTTAGTAGAATACTCTTGAAGAGCAAGGGACCTTGCCTGAAATGCTTAATGCCACATCCTCGGGGTCTGGCATGGTTCCAGATAGGGGCAATGATTGAACGATTGGTGTGAGCACTGAACGCCTGAGTGAATGAACCAGTCTGGTAGACGCTCATGGAAAGCCCCCTCTAAACCACTAGATCCCCTCTAATCTTGCCCAGGGAATCATCTCAAGCCTCAGAGGGGCACAGCAACACTGGGAGAAGCCCAGCAGACTTTCCCCCAGGGAGACTGAATGAAGCGGAACCCAACGTCTTAGCTCTGGCAGCAGAGTACCTTAGCCAGGTGTTCCTTCCAGACACGCACTGACATTTTCCCCAGAGATAATACTACCAGCACAATTTCCGCTATATTAGTTCATTTCCAGGGATGTTTTAGCCCCCTCTTGAAACTGAACTGCTGCCCTGATCGCCTGCCTCTTTTTCTACCTCTGAGCCCCCCAATGAAAGCCTATAGACCATAACTCTCCCTCCACGCTGCTCACCGGGGCATTGTTTAACAGAAACCTGAAGCAAACACGGTGACAGAACAGCTCTTGCAAATGCCCCTTTAAAGGGATTTAAAACACCCTTTGTACCACAGATAAACACCCAGGAGGGCTCAGGCTTGCTTTCCTCGGAGTGGAGACAGGACAACAGGAAGCACAAGGCAAGTCGGTCCCTTTGGGAGATGCATGTGGCTTCACGGCTGAGCCCAACATAGTGCCACAAAGATAACTTGACAAACAAGGGGCTTGGTCGGTGTGATGGAGCGGGACGCCAGTGCCTGGATGAATCGCCCACAGGACTTTGAATTACCTTCAGCATTAGACAGAGGCTTTGGAAGGCTTAATGAAAAATCCGCAGGGTGAATAAGTCAGACCCATGGGGTTCTTGTAAGAGCAGAGACAATAGAGCTCAATAAAAATGGCCATGCCCATGACACAACTCATCCATCCATGCCTGTGCAAGGCAGAGACCAGAGGACAAGCTCCTCCGCTAGGAACGCCAGAACCTCGGAACTGCTGCACTTTCTGTATGAGGCCGAAGTGGAAGTCTGTAGCAAGCACTACAAGGATGTGCTCCTCAAGACTCTAAGCACCCATGGGCCAACTTCGAATGGCCCTGAGGTAGCCTCAAGTTCCATGTGGCTCACTGTTTGAGAGGCCAGAGCAGAGTCCTTAATTTGTGTGTCTTGAAACAGCCTTGTTTCGCCATCCATTTCAAAAAATAGTTTTGCTTGGTATAGCACTCTGGATTGACGGACAGGTGTTTACTTTCAGGGTTTGAAATGTCCAGGATTTCCTGCTACCCTGGTTGGGGGTTGCTGATAGAAGATCCAGCATTCCTCCGATAGCTCTGCCTCTGCGTGTGAGTCTGCCTTTCCCCTCTGTGGGTTTTCGCACTTGTCTTTACGCTCTGGTTTTGACATCTTTACCGTGACATGCCATGGGGAGGTTCTTCTCTGGTTATGTGCTTGGGATTCTAAAGCCCCTAGCATTTGGCTGTCAAAGTCTTTCTCCTAGACTTGCAAACTTTCCTGCTGTGACTGTTTTTCTATGATAATTTGTCTAGTCTACTTGATTTTTAGCCCAACTCCTTCTGTCCTATGGATTTTTAGGCTTGGTCCCTTGAATGTATCCCAGACTTCTTGGAATTATGAGTCATGTCCATTGACTTTTTTCCTCATGTATGAACGATTGTATCGCTATCTGGCCTCTGACCTACAGTCCTGCATTTTGCTCTTCTGCATGGTCTTGTCTGTTGCTGATACTCTCTGATGTGTTTTGTGATTGCCTTTCCTTCCCAGAATTCCTGTTTGGTTCTTCACAGGTATTTCAATCGGTTGCTGAATTTATCTTCTGTGTCTTGTACTTTTTCCTCCAACTTGTGATTTCACTCACTTTAGACACCATCTTGTCAAGATCTTGACTGGTGTCTTAGGGTCACTACCGCTATGATGAGACACCATGACCAAACGCAAGTTGAGAAGAAAGGGTTTATTGGACTTACACCTCTGTGTCATAGTCTTATCACTGATGGAAGTCGGGACAGGAACTCGAGCAGGGCAGGAACCTGGAAGCAGAAACGGATGCAGAGGCCATGGAGGGTGCTGCTCACTGGCTTGCTCCCCATGGTTCCACCACCAGCCCAGGGATGGCACCACCCACAATGGGTGGGTTGGGCCCTCCCCCATCAATCACTAATTTAAAAAAAAAAAAACCCTCTACAGGCTGTGTACAGCCTGATCTTAAGGAAGCATTTTCTCAGCGGATGCCCGCTCCTCTCAGATGACTCAGGTTTGTGTCAAGATGAACGGACACTACCCAGCACAAGTGGATTTTCGTGCCTGGCTCACCTGCTGACGTAAGCCGTCTACTAGGTCATCTGCCCTTTTTAAAAGTAGGATTCTGAATTCTCCCTCACACATCTCCCTTACCTTGGTGATGTGGGGGGGGGGGAACTGGGATGTTGGGATGCGGTGGGGTGTGAGGTTGTCTCATTCACTGTGTTTCTTTGTTGTTTCTTCATGTATTGGGACTCACAATGTCTTTCCATTTTAACGTGCCCTTTTCTCTGACTCTATGCTGTTGGCTGGTGAATGCAAGAGGACTTCTTATTGCTAGGTAAAAAGCAAAACCTGGCAGATAAGTGGGGGTACCACTGAGTCTCACCCTAAGTACCTGCAGGGCCTGTGACTGCTGTAAGAGTCATCGGGAAGAGTCAGGGCTTGAGTCTAAACCCATGTGTTCTCAGCTGTGCTTCAGAACAACTGTAGAACATGGCTGGGGGGAGGGGCCCGCAGTTCACATACTCTGCTTTGAGCAGGAAGGCCAGTAGCAGCTCTCCTATGCCTATGCCGTTGGTCCTGTCCTGTTTGTCTGTCTAAAACAGGTTGTCTCCAAGCTCTGCAACTTGATACCTTGAGTACCTCCCAGGAACCTCAATTTCCTGGTCTGTGAAATGGGAACAAACAGCACCCGATTATCACGGGCATGGCTATGAGGGCCAATGAGTCTGGTGCGCCAGTGGCTTTCCCGTGGCTGTGATGGAACACCGTGACCAAACTCGACTTAGAAAAGTTTCTTTTTAGCTTATGGTTCCAGAGGGATCAGAGTCCATTATGGCAAAGGGACATGGGAGCGAGCAGTTGGCCATGGTGACAGGGCAGGAAGCTAGGAGCTCACATCTTCACAAAGCAGAGAGCGCAGACTGGACGTGGCGAGAGGCCTTTCATCTCGAAGCCTGGCCCCAGTGATGGGCTTCCTTCCACAAAGGGAGCTGCCAACTGAGGGCATTTTCATTCAAACCACCACATCAGATGAGAGCTGCGCACAGCGCCTGCCTCACAGCTTTCACTGCTAACCTTCATTGTCCCTCTGTGCACCCTGCGCATCCTCTCTGCGCTAGGATTCTGCGTGCACCTATCTATTAAGCTCCGAGCCACAGCAGCCAGATAAGGCATCCTGCTTGTGTCTGTGCCTTCCAAAAACCTCAATACCCTGAGAGAAAGAGGATGTTTGTTGAATAAATGAACAACAGAACAAACGTGTGAAATAAATATTCTGTATTCTGCTCTGCATGTTTTGTGATTTTGACACCTAGATTCACAGTGCTCCCTCCTGACTGTAACCATAAAAGATGAGTTGGAAACTCTCGAGTCCTTCCCATGGGTCCTGTTCATCACACGTCTGACCACACGAGCCGGTGAAGAGAGAAGAGGATGCTCCAGCAGCGGATGCTGCTACAGTCGGGATGAAGACCCTGGAGAAGGAAGACCCTGTCCCAATGCAGACACACCAGAGCGCCAGAACATCAGAACCCAGCCTTTCCTCAAAGTAACAGCATCGCCCTAAGCACTCTGGAGCTGCCCCTCCCACTCTGTGTAGTGACAGACTATACCAGGATGTTCTGCTACCCCAGACAGCTAGAGGAAAACTAGAATGCAGACACAAGGACCGATGTATAGGGGCCCTTCCAATGCCTTACAAAACATTATATCTGGCCAATTTAGGAAGTAAACCAAAATAAAAAAAGATATCAAGTAAGGAAATCAAACACCCTCATGAACCAAAGCTCAGCTGGGAGACCACAGTGACTTACGTTTGACCTCCTTCAAAGCTGGGTCCTTATGATCAGCAGCACGCCAAGCCTGGGCTGGGAAATGGATGCTGCTTAGCCGTGGCAGACATCACTAATCAATTACAGCACGCTTTTGCTTTAGTGGGCGATTCTAATGCTTCCCATCCTGTTGATTGAAACAAGCCACTGTTAATCGATTAGTCACCATAGAGCATTAAACCCCCTTCCCAAACCTGACCTAGATGCTCACACCGCCTGTGTAATCCACAGACTTCCTTGCCTGGTTTCTCTAATGACTCAGACGGTGCCGTTATAATGATGTCAGCATGTCAGGACAGAGCAGACCATTTGTTTCTTTCAGTGCCCTCCTCCCCCACCTCCAACCTCCCCAGTCTCCTGAACTCTGTTGCTTTTCTTAACCTCATGTTAGAGAAACATAATACACAATGGCGGGGTGGGAGAAAAGGCTCAGTGGTTAAGAGCATGCGTTGTTCTGGCAGAGGAGCCGAGTTCGATTCTAAGCACCCACATGAGACAGCTGACAACTGCCTGTAACTCCAACTTCAGGTATCTGGTATCCTCTGACCGCCCCCCCCCCCCCGAGGCATACACAGACACATGTGTGCATAGGAATAATAAAAATAATAGACACGGGCAAAATGCGCTCCATGTTCACTATAAATCGTCACAGAGAGGAACAGGAGGTAGCTCCATTAGAAAGAGCTTAGCTCGAAAGCATGAGGGCCTGAGTTTGATTCACTTAGAACTCACCTGCAAAGCCAGGGCTAGTGTCCTGGGGAATTCCTGGGAGGAGCCGGGAGGATTCCTGAGCCCCTGTGTTGAACTGTCTATCCAAATTGGTGAGCCTCGGAGTCAGAAAACAACCCAGTAGCCAGTGATAAGGCTGAGCGGATAAAGGCACTTGCCGCCAAGCTTGAGTTCGATCCCTGGGTCCCACTTGGTAGAGAGCGAGACCTGACTCCCTCCAAATTGACCTCTGACCTCCACCACATGCGCAATGTGCACCGTAGCACGTGTGTGCAGCCCACCCGACGAGCATACACACGCATCCAGTGAAATTTATTACTAAAGTTGTTCGTGATTGTGTAGTACCCTTCCGCTCAGGCTCCGAGACCTGAACGGATGTCTTCCTGGTTTAAGATCAGCACCATCTGCTGACCTGCCAGACCCTGTGTCTTGTGACCTCTGTGCACTCTACTGAGCATGGCCCCTCTTGGCACTGGCGGCACTGAGTTCCCAATGCCCTATCACCGTGCAGTTGCCCATTCGCCCCTCCCCTGAGCCCGGCTTGCTTTCCCAACCGGCTCCTCTTCCGTCTTACTTATCCTAATTTTCATTGCTTTTCCTTGGTTCCCCTTTGTGGATGCTGGGGCCCGGGGACACACCGAATACCTGGGGGAATAAGCCTGGTATAAATAAACAAATAATGCCCTGATGATTCTGGGCACTACTTAAGATCTTGAACATCAGACTCACGAGCAGGTGTTGGGGGCTGGAAGTCACGGGGAGAAATCATGAAAGTCTCTCCTGTCTTCCTCTTCGTTTCCTTTTGAGCACCCGAGAGAGCAAACCGATGCCTGGGGGAGTGTAGCACAGCTCTGCGTCCTTCTGTGTTCCTAGATGCCTGCGATCACCAAGTAGCCTCCTAAATCAACTCCACAACAGGCACACAGACTTTAACACCAAACATGAGGGTTCGAGGCACTGGGGTGGAAGAACCATTTCTCTCGTGGCCCCTGTAACTCCCAGTTATTGGTTGCCTAGATTATCTGTGGAAACCAGGAGGGTGTGAAGCTAAAGGTGTGGGCTTTGGAGTTAAGGTTCACATTCTGCCATTCAAACTATGCTCTGCTGGAGAGATGGCTCAGTGGCCTGCTCTTCCAAACGCCCTGAGTTCAATTCCCAGCAACCACATGGTGGCTCATAAGGATCTGTAGTGAGGTCTGGTGCCTTCTTCTGGACTGCAGACATACACACAGACAGAATATTGTATACATAATAAATAAATATATTTTTTTAAAAAAAAATATGCTCTGCTCACATTTGTTCATGAGCCTCAGCTTCTCTTCTGGGGTTGTTCAGTGGCTTATGGGAAATAACATATGGAAAATGTTTAGCACGGCACTTAGTATAAGAAATTAAGAAGTAGCCTTTACCGATTACCCCTTTCCCTAAGTCTTGACAACTGGAAGCTCTGCTTTGCCCTCCTGCTGGAGGAGGGGTTAGTGTAGCTTACCACACAGCCCTCATAGCCTCAAGCCCAGAGTCAAGTACAATGGGTGTTTAAAATAAGCTTTGGGGGAGATGGTTCCGTGGTTAAAAGTATATACTGCACTTCCAGAGGACCCAGGCTTGGTTCCCAGCATACACCTTTGGTGGCTCACAACTGCTTGTAACTCTAGCTCCAGCGGATCTGACACTGTCTTATGGACTCCACAGACATGGGATGGCTAATCTTGACTATCAATCGGACACTGCTAAGAAGTGAAGACCTCAGCTGAGGAATTGCCTCCACCAGGCTGGCCCACGGGCACATCTATGGGGTATTTTTTTATTGCTGATTGATGGTACCACTGTGGGGAGTACTGGGCAGAGCAGGTGGACACAGGCTCTCTAAGGTAACGAGCTGAACGCAAGCCTAAGAGCAAGCCCACAAGGAGTGTTCACCACGGTCTCTGCTCCAACTCAGTCTAGGTTCCTGCTTCGACTTTTCTTGATGATGGGCTGTAACCTGGAAGTGTAAGTCAAACACACACACACACACACACACACACACACACACGTACACGCGCGCGCACACACACACACACACACATGCACACGCACTATCAAAATAAATCTTTAAAACTAAAATATGCTTCAGAATATCAACCCACGTCCTACTCTTTCGTTATAACTATTTCCTCCTTCCTAGGAAGACCTCTCTCCAAAGTGCACCCTCTGCTGACTGGGATTAGCAACAAAACCTCTCAAACCCAGCAGGAGATAATGGGCTGAGCGGTCACAGACTGAAGTCCCAGCTAGCATCTTGGTCATGTCCATCCCGTACACAGAAAACCTGGTGAGTGTGACCAACAGGTCAGCTCTGCCTGTGTGTAAATTCCACAGCCAGAGTACCTAACAATTTATATTCTTTTCCAGGTCGAATAAGATGACAAGAGGATTAAAAAATGTGTCTCAGAAACCTGTAGACGGAGCCCAGAAAGGCAGCTACAGGGAGAGTCCTGGTTAATTCTGAGATTCCAAACAGCCAGCTTTCCATCAATTTCCAGGACCTCATTCCTCGCCCCCCTTTATTCTCAGAATTGATGTTTATGTTTCCACCAGGCTAGAGACCAATCCTCCTCGGCAGCCTCCGTCAGAGAGAATCAGAAATTTTCCACCTGGGATGCTACAAATTGCATTTCTCAACACAGTTCCGGGATACGGGGTGTGACCAGCATAGCTAAGTGATCAGAACCCGGGGGACCCTGACTTTATCACCATCAAGCAGCTGAAGATCCAGACAAGACAGAGCCTCCTGTCCACCAAGATCCAAGAAGAAAGCCCCTGTCAGTCTGAAAGCAGCTCTCTGGGAAGTCTGCAGTCTGGAGGGAGGCTAGGCGAAGGCCCCACCGCTTCTGCCTGTGTGACTGGGAGCATTGCTCCACTGTTCGTCTTATAAAGACAAGTAAAATGAATCTTTGGGCTGGGGAATAAGCTTGGGAAAGTAAGTGCTTGATTCTCAATCCCCCAGAACCCAAGTATAAATAAATAAAAATTAAGTAATTAGTAATAAATAAGTAAAAGCCAGGGGTTGCAATGCTTACCTATAAGCTCAGTGTTGGGGAGGCAGAGACAGGAGGATCCCTGTGGCTCAGTGGCCAGCTGGGCTGGCTAAGTCTGTGAGTTCCAGGCTCAGCAACAGACCTTCTCAAAAACACAAGGTGGAAAGAGATAGAGGGAGAAAGCCTCAAGTTGACCTCTGGCCTACATGCGCGCATGCACACATATGTACGCACACACACATACATACACACATGGGTGGGGGCAAGGAGTGCAGAACGCCAACCCATTGGGAGAATGTAGCAGAAACACATAGGAGTCACTTAACACAAAGTCTGACTCATGGACAGTGTGGGGGGAAAAAAAAAAACCTTTGGCCGAGCAATACCCAGGATCCCCTCTGATATTTGCCCTTCTTTTAAAATACCACTAACTTCGCAGGGAAGCCCTTGGCAAGCACATTTGCAAGGTCCAGAGCCCACACTCTACGTTCACACCCCTTAGCCAATGATGGTTGGATAGCGGAGGACATCTCTCAGATTGAACCAGTCGGCTCTTCCTGATCCCTGGAGTGGAACCTGGCCACCTAGACTCTTAATGTTTAAAATAAGGAAGGGTAGATTCTGCAACCAAGAGGCTATCACCACCCACCTCAAGAGGAAAGATGAAGAGAAGTCTACAAACGGGGAGAAAGAGAAAGGACAGGACAGAGAGGACAAAGAGGGACAGGGACTGGGGGAGGGAGGAGGGGCGAGGGAGGAAGGGGAGTGACCATAAGCTCAGGAATGATTGCTCACTAGAAGCTAGGGGCAGCAGAGTTTGAACCTCCACCCCTGGAGGGGCACCTCGATTTCAGACTTCTGACCTTTCAGGTTACATAAAATCAATTCTTATTGTTTTCAACCACCCAGTCTGGAGCAGATGGCCTGGGAGGTCTCTGGAGTATTCTTGGTGCCAGTCCGCACTGAAAGGCTGGGGAAGCTGGGCTCTGATGTCTCTGCAGGGTGACTCCAGCTGCAAAGTCATTCATTCGGCAAGAATGAAGCTTGCAGTCGCTGGCAGGCTTTCTCCTCTGTCCTTTTCGGTCCCATCTGAGTCCTCAGCCTATGGGACTGTATCACCCACATTTGGGGTGGGTCTTCTCCTCTGACTTGCTATCCCAGCTGCCAGTCATCTCTGGAACGCCCTCATAGACACACCCATAAATGGAATTTACTATGTGTCCTTCAGCCCAACAGATTTGGCAGTCAAGATTAACTCGTAAGGGAGAAAGTAGAAGCAGATGCATTTGACTTGTTCAGCTGTCTCTACACTGATAAACAACACAGCTAAGACCCAACGGGGGCTTCTCTCATCCCAACCTGTAAGACTGCTGCCCTGGGGGATGGGAGCTGTACCCCACTTCCCTGGTGCAGCTTCTGAATAAATGAATCCAGGGATTAAGAACAACACAGATCTGATTCCAGAAGAGGAAAGGGTTAAACTTGCCTGCTCTGGGCCAGCTAGAGAGAGCTGAAAAGCCAGGCTTAGAACCACAAACCCCAGGCCCAAAATTCATATTAGTGATGAAAATGTTTGTCAAAGAACTTTTCTGCATGAGGCTGGGCAACTTCCAGACGTTCCCCAAGCATCCCGGAGACTGCAGGCTAGCCAGCCTCCATCCTTATTTCTCTCTGTGTCTGAACAAGGCTGAGCATAAACTCCATAGAAATCTTTTTAGAGGAAAATTAAACTTTACTAGCTGAGGGCTTATATATTCTGAGTGCTGTGGCAAGTATCCTGTACTTTACTGGACTAAACCGGGTATGCCGAGATCATTTAACCACAGAGCACAGCACTTAGACACTCAGGGTCTGGAGACAGACTACCTCAAACCTTCACTGACCTTGGACTTGAGTGTTCTGTCTGTGAAATGGTCTGACTCTATTAATACACACTCCTTGGCAGAGCTATCAGAGGTCCAATGTGACCACTTGACTGGTTCTCCCTGCACGCTAGTGACCATTAATCCTTCCAATGACCTGTGACGTCACAACCATGAAGCCTTTGCAGCTACCATCCCTGGGTATTGTGAAGTTAATACTTGCTCCTTAGACTGAGCTCATAGTTGTATGGATTTCTTTTCATAAGGTAGCGACATCCACAGCATTGCCTTTGTAGGTTAGAAGCAAAGGACAGAAGAGGACAAACTCAGAACACGCAAATCCCACTGGGACCAAATAGAGATCCATGAACACCTTGACCTCTAGAGTGTGCGGGCTGTGATCACGGAGCTTCCCTGCAGAGATCTAGAAATCACAGGAGGAGGTGGAGATCATCACTAGGCTGGGGGCACAGTCACACTGGGCTCACAAAAATGTTCAACTAACGCTGGCATCCATGAAGACACTCAGGTTTTTCTCAGTGCTGGGTATGCGCACGACATAAGCACTCTACACCGAGTTGCAACCCCAGGTTGAGAACTACATGTGTCAGAACCTTTGCACATACAAACTAGATGTGTGTGTGTGTGTGTGTGTGTGTGTGTGTGTGTGTGAGTATGTTTGGACATCAGAGGAGAGGAGTCCATTCTCTCCTTCTACCATGTGGGTCCCAGAATTTGAACTCTAAACATCAGGCTTGGCAGCAAGCACCTTTATCAGCCGAGCCATTTTGTTGGCCCAACATTGAATTTTAAAGAAATATAAGTGGATTTTAATTGCAGAGGGGTTCATCTCTGCTTTGTTAAGGATGTTGATGAGCCGTACACACTGTCTCAGCACACCCGGCTGCTGATGGCCAAGTTGCAAGTGTCATCTCTCACTGGCGACACAACACGTCTCTAGGAGCTTACTCTCCTGGCTGCGGAAGCCAAGGTGGTTATAGATCGGAGCAATTATCCGGCTGCATTGCTGTGTTTTATTGTACAGTCCCATGCTGCCGTCGACACGCTGAGATATAAACCATCTTATTACAGGCAACTTCAATTTCTCCTCTCTCCCGGTACTGCCAGGATGTCGTATTCATCTTCTGATGCTCTGTGCTTGTGTAGATTATACTATCTGTGAAATTCATTTCTGAGTGGTAAACAGTTATATTTTTTTTCTTTTATGAAAGGGGAACCGAGTCTGACTGGGAGAAACGTCACTTAGCCTCTGCTTTAGAGTATAAGTCCTACAGATGTGAGGAGAACTGTGGCCATGTAGCTGTAGCCCGTTCTGTCGCTCTGATGATGGCCGGCTGCTCCCTCTTCAGCGCTGAACTATCCAGCAATTGTATTATGCGTCTCAGAATCCAGGCTAACCTCCTTTCTTAA